GAATAAATGAAATCTATCAGTTTCTACTATGTATGGCATTTAACCTCTCAAACTTGATTTGGATGTCCCTACAAAACCTGTTAACGCGTGCAGCCATAAATCTTCAGACACATCGCACCGAGATGTATAACCAGAGAAATGTTAAACACGTTTGATAAATATTACAAAACGTGACAGTGGTTTTATCTTTCATCGCAAATTTGCTCATAAATTTTTATATGTACATACATTCTACCTTGTTTGTTCCGATAAAAAAAGTTAATATGTTTAACCACAAGAACGCAGGATCAAAAGGAACATTAACAAGCGTTTCAACACCCGATGACGTCACAGCAACGAATTAATTAAAGCATTAAATTTACCACGCGATTATAAGGAATAATTAAGGTCGGGTATCGAAGCGGAAACTGGTGTTCCCTACGCTCTTCAGTTGAACTATCGTTGTTAACGCTTACAAGCTTAACAGGATGGTTACCAGTTTTTAGAGTACGTGTTTGTTAGCCTTTGTACATCGAGCCGGGCATCAAGGCGATGAAAGTTCGGCATAGAGTTTAATTGGACGCTCGAGAGAAGCTGCAGCGCGGTAACGAGGTAGTAATTAAGCAATTATCCTCACGACTGCTACTTCTTTTAAATACTTTACTTTATTATCGTGTTCCTTGGAAAATCGACGACTCTTCTACGTTTGCATTAATTCAATGTATCCTACTGGATAATGACAGCATTTCAACCCTTTCACTACAATGACACCTAAATGGGTGTATGGGTCTAATAAAATTCTTCGGACTTATTATACATATCCAAGGTGTCCGTGCGGAGGTGCTTACAATTTCTTTATTCTGTAACTATTGATGACACAAAGAATCGTTAATATGAGAACTGTAGAGGTGTGCGAGAGCCCAAAAATATTGGATCGGTTCGGGTCAGGTTCTCGAAAGTATACAGCGTCTACCATTTACAGTAAAAGCTGGATATATGCAACAAAAGTTTGGCTGGATATATGCAACATCGCTATCCCCTCCACTTCGGGGGATCCCCCTAGGCGAACCGAGCCGCTCGACGAGGAAACCGTGTAATATGATCCGACCGTAATATCGGTGTGACTAATACTAATTGAACGATAAAATTTTTTTATTTTTAACTTTTTCTTAATGAAACTTTTACTAACGCATTTGTGAGATTTTTCTGATTAAAATGATACCAAACATAAGGCAGGCCGTACACCAAAGATACATCAAACACGCAACATGCAACATGCAACACGTCGCATGTTGTGTACGAACGTAGAATAGGTACCGCGGATGAATACAAACGATGTGTACGGACGCAGAATCGACACCTTGGCTGGATATATGCAACGTGTAAATGCCCAGAATCGACATCTCGGCTGGATATATGAAACATTAAATGCCCAGAATCGACACCTCGGCTGGATATATGCAACGTTTAAATGCCCAGAATCGACACCTCGGCTGGATATATGCAACGCCTGTGTCCCAATGTTTGTTGCATATATCCAGCTTTTACTGTATCTCGGAACCCGTGCGCACGTGAACTCACGAATGTGGCAACAGCGCAACGTTTGACATAATCGGCGATACTCTGATCCGAGATTCAATTCGGGATACAAGTATATTTGCCTCTCTGCCGATCGCGCCCGAGTTTTGCCGAACCGAGCCGAGCCGACTCAAAGTTCCACTGCTCGTCGTGCATACTCGTATCCCGAATTGAATCTCGGACCAGAGTTCGGTCAATTACCAACTTAACTCTAGGGATTTTTACATCGCTCCCCACAGCTCTCTACATGACATTATATTTTCAGCAATGATTTGCAGAGGGCGCATCTATCGAATTTTAGCGCTGCTGCCACAATCATGAGTTCGCGCGCGCACGGTTTCCGAGATAAATGGTATACCCTATACAGTAGATTCTCGTTATATTGCCCTGTGACAGATTTGACCTACACATGAATGTTTAGTCTTTTTTACCAGCATAGCTTTAGGGGTTATGCCTAGTTAGCATAAGAGAAAAAGGTGATGTTTGACAATTTTTTTGTACGACTTGAAGTCATTTTTATGTTAAAAATAATATACCATTTAAAAGCGCAAGTAATTAACTTACTCTACAAATTTTTTCATTAAAAAATATTAAAAAATACAGCAAATATAGTTGAACTTAAAAGATCCTTTTTCTGACATCCTTTGTGGTGAGCATATCTACAAAACAGTTCATTTCAAATGAAAACATCAAAAAGATTTTGTTAGCAGATGACAATAAGCTGTTCGTAAACGAAGAATTTTGCAAATTTCGAATTTTAACAAAATTAAAAAATTTCTTCTACTCGGAAGATCCTAGTTGAGGGATTGGCAACTTATGACACGCCGCAGGGCCGGCGTTGGGGGGGGGGGGCAATCGTCCAGGACGCTAGATCTGTAGGGGGCGCTGCAGCCCGGTGTCCCTAGTTTATTCATCTATATCCGTTTAGATTAGTAAAGCTGTTATATAGTTTAACAATTTTTACAATCTAACTACAGATTCATCGTTTCATATTATTACCTTGTTTTTTTCTTAAAAATTTTGAACCCCTGAATGGATGCCACGATAATCTTGCCCAGGGCGCCAATATTGCTAAAACCGGCCCTGACACGCCGATTACCGAATGATCCATTTAATAATTTCAAGTTAACAGTATTCAACGGGAATCAATATATCTATTGCGGATTACCTACATGTATGTACATCAGAAGTGCTGTCATCTTCTAATACAATCTTACAATTACAAATGTTTTCAACCGTACCTATAACGTTCCGGATTATTTCTTACGACTTATTAATTACCAAGTTTGCCATACCGCAATCAAATCGTTATTGGGAGCATCGTATATTCGGGTATTTTTAATTTTGTGCCGCCTCTGAAAAGGTTGAAATGTATTTATCGTTAGTATACTATTTAACGATTAAATACGTTTTATTAATAGCTGTGGAGTATTGGTATAAATGAAATAGAAATTATTTCATAGTTTTTAGCGCATTTTGTTAATGCAGCAAGTTTTATTAATAATTGTTACGTAGTTGTATAAATGAAATAGAAATTATTTTACACTTTTTAGCGCATTTTGAAGTCGGTTGTATTTTTTGTTAAAAATTATTTTATTTCACACTTTTTAGTGGAACGAGCAGTACTTGTAGAATGCTGTAAGGAGGCTTACCATTCTTATTGGTTAATTGCAATAACGATAGTTATTAACAGTAAGAAGGTACATGAATTTTTGCAAATGGGATCATCGTGGAAAGATCTGTGAGATGTGAAAAGTTTCATCGCGATCGGTGCATTCTTTGCAGAGTAGCATTAAAGAATAGGATTTTGCAATAACAATAGTTATTATATTATATTCATACTGATTTTCGGTCGACGCGATATGTGTATAGAAACGGTAGAGAATCGGCGACTGCATGTTGACTCATACACCACCAGAGACACGTAGGCATACGTAGAATTCAATGAAGTAGTAACAATAGTTTTTCACGAATATCTCGGAAACTAAAGCTTTCCGTTAATGTGAAATTGCGAATCGAGTATGAGTGACCGAATGCATGAATGACCTAGCATATAACTAGTTTCTAATGGCTCAAAAGGCAAACTGTAACAATAAATGGAGATAAATAAAAAAAAAATTACATATTTTTGTTTACATCATTCGATAGTATTTTTAATACTCCAACAACTGTAGTTATGTCAGAAATAAAATCTGCTTTATGAAAGTTATTCACTTTATGTATTTTATTCTAAATTACTTTGTCCTTTTGAATTGTTTTCGTTAGTTTTTTATTACTTTTCCTTTTACAATAAGCGTTTAATGCCGAGTGACTGAGGTCACCCTTGGTACTTGGTACACAGTGACCACTTAATGGTGGACAGCTATAGTCACGTACAGTTAGTAACTAAAGGATTAACCATCTGATGGCACTCAGACCTTTCATGACCTTAGAAAAGTATTTTATACAGATAAATAAATAATTTACTCTATAAGGTCATCTCTACCTTATAAACAATATTGCATAACCTCACTATTTTACGATCTTAATAAATAAAGAATATAGAAAGAAAAGAAAAAATATAAGAAAGAAACATTGAGATACTGTGTAATGTCCTCTAAACAAATTTCACTACTTCACTCCTTAAACCAAATGTATTAAAAACATTGATTTTTATTATTCGTCCTTTTATTTTAAATGCATGATTTTATAATTAATGTATTTAAATATACATTTATTCTTAACGAATAAAAATAAATGAAATTTTCCTTAGTAATTGTTGCATAGATCCTTTTTGTTTTATAACTATAGAATGTACAGTAGACTCTCGTTATATCATTTTCATAGATCACGACGATGGAAGGGTACCCTTCCACGTATACCCTTAATGCCACGTGGCATTAATATGCTTAAAATTCCATGTGAACATCAAATTACTCAAGTGGCGATATAGCGAGAGTCTACTGTATAATAATTTGAAATAGACTAAATTGGTCATTTTTAACAACTGGTTTGACAAAACTTGAATAACCAGTTGCATACAAATTAATTAAAGTAGGAGAATAAAAATTTTACATTAATCAGTTTCTTTTTATTATTAATATGTAAATGAAGGAATTTTGGAAAAATTCCATGGCTGTAATATCCACTGTTCGATTCGATCTAGAATGATGTCTAACTTTAAAAAATTGTACAATTGGGGCACTTGTCACTATTTAACCCTTGGAAGACGGATGCTGCGGGGCCGACGTAAATGGATGTACGGTCCGTTTGATCCGTACTTAAAATGACAATATACATATGCGGGTTTGAAGGAGAAATTATATATATACAAATTCGGATATAAAAGGGGGAAAACATAGTATAATAATGTACGTATGTATTTTAGTATTAATAAAAAATATTATTAAATTACGTTCAAACCTTCAAAGTTTACTGAAAATTTGAAAAATATGAAAACTTACAAGTGGTTCTAATTATTTGACCAGAAGTAACCATGAGTAACTATAGTAGACTGTTATATGGCCGCGTACGATGCTGTAAGGCAGAAAATTTTTTAAACTTTCAAGCTGTCACCTGAAAAAGGAAAGGAAAAGTGTATTATCTTCAAAGGATATAATGGGAGGTAGATATTATAACGCTTAAAAATCTGTGTGAACATCAAGCCGTTTATCTGACAATATAAAAAAAGTCTGCTGTATGACTTTCGAAGATCCAAGGCTTTTCATTATTTAGGGATCAGATTCCTAATTGATCTTGGAGGCCTCATGCGGAGAAACTGAAAAGCTGCGGACAGTCCTGCATGCAAAAAAAAGGACAGAGCGATTCAAGCAACTATGTTGATATAAAAGAGCTTAAATTTAGCGATTTTGTAGTTCAAAGATTTCGAAGTGAAAAAGCAATATTTTCTCATAATTTTGTTTCAAAAATATTCTTTGTATAATTATACAACGGCGTACAGAGTCCGATTTTGGAATTTGCCTTTTTAAACATTTTAAAATACACTTTTATGCACCAACATTTTTTACAGTTTTCTCAAAAAGCGCTCTGTGCCGCGCCTGGTTGTATTACCTGACCTGAAACACCCGTATACATACACATTTTAAACCACTGAATTCCTAAAGTTAAGACTAGCATTTTTGGATTCGACACATCAAAAGCTATTAAATGGCAATCAAAAAAGTCAATAGTTTTATGTCCTATAAAACAAAGTGTTGCCAAATCATACAGGGTGGCCAAAAAGGAGCTTCAGTTTTGATTTCAGCGCCATCTCTTTACTTTTATAGATATTAAAATCATTATTTGATAAACAAGTAAACTTAAGTTGGAAATTCTTTTACTCATGTTTTTTTAGTTTTAAAATGGCGATTGCAAAGATTACATACAGCCTCAAAAAACGTGTGTTTATCATCGCTTAGCGATCAATGATTTCTTTCTCTGGGGTTATGTCAAGGATACAGTGTATGAAGTGAAGGTATCCTCAATGAAAGCACCTCAAAGAAAGAAAGAATCACCGAAGTCATCCAGTTGAAAAATTGAGGAAAAGTCGATTTGTATTCACACATGTTTTACTCACTTTTTAATGGCCAGTAGAAATAATGTTGCTTTCAGATTGAATTGTTTTAAACAAGGCTCCGCCACTTATAGTAGTTACTGAGGGAAAACACTTTGAAAATCTTATTCATTAAATTTTCAACGTTTCTGAATAAAATGCAATTTATTTGAATTGAATATCTCTTGTAGCTTTTTATACTGAATTTTTCAAAACTAAAGCTTTTTTTAGGCCATTCTGTACATATAATATATGTGGGTTATTCTTATATGGCTCATTGTCAGTGGTATGGAAAAGTAGGGTTATGGACATGCGTGGTTCGAAATATCGTTCAATTTGGGAACCGCTGATGTTATATCAGGCAATATGGAGGGAGCGTAAGAAGCTTCTTCTGAACAATATCCCAGATTGAAATGGAAAGTTGTGCGAGATTTCTGCCGTTACAATTGAAAGTGGCCACTTACCGCTTACGGAGCTACTTTCAATGTAATCTCCACGGTGCAGAAGACACGATTGCAGTTCGCGAAAGTCGAGCGACGTTTATGTCGACAATAAGACTGCTACTGGTGTTTATTTAGCTGTGGCAGAAAATTCGTCGTTGTTAGTGGTAGTGTTTCATTGAAAGCAGAAACTGTGGCAGGTCGTGGATGGAAAAAGAATTCCATGGAAATTTCCTCGCCTAAATGAAAGAGGAGCTAAAAGCATCTATATTTATAATATTTGAATCAGTTCATTGACAGGTGTTAGTTTTGATCGGAAGACAGTGGAATGTTATTATCACTATAATATCATGATATCATTTTTCAATACAAGACACGTAGTTAAACATTCATAAAGTTATGGTAAATTAAAATATAACAGTGAGACGGAAAACAAGCACAGAAAATATTAATTTATGGCAAGTAGCACAGTATACAGGATGTTTCGTGTATCTGTGCACTTTTGAAAAAATTTTGAAATTTTAGAATTTTAGAAATCTGGAATGTTTGAATTTTGGTATTTTTAAGATTAGAAATTTTGAAATTTCAAAATTTTGGCATTTCTGAACTCCGGAATCAAACTTTTAGAATTTTGAAATTTTAGAATTCTGGAAATTTGGAAGTTAAAAATTTTAGAATGGTGAAGGTTCACATTTTTAGAGAGGCACCAACCCAGATTTTTAAGAAGTTTGGCCTACCCTGACCCCTATCTAATTACGCCAACGTTCGTCAGTATATTCTATAGTTAAAAATATTATATAAAAAAGGTACATAAATATTTTCCTAAAAAGTTATAACAAAATTATGAAATAAGTCACGGCAATGTTTTATTGTGACCAACATACAGTGGATTTTAAAAATATTCGTCTAAGTTTCAAAAATAAGTTTCATAAAATTGGATCAAACAACTTAGACTTTTTAAGTGACTGGAAAGATTAGTGTACTAATTTTGTCGTCTGATGTCTGACGCCGTAATGACGTCTTTTCGTCGTTTTGAATATATTACAATTACTCAGAATTGCAAAGAAAATAATAAAGGTTGCTTTTTATCATTTTTTATCTAAACCTATAATGAGAATTTAGAAAAGATACTTTTTGTAAGGTATTGCAATATTTTATCAATATGAATATTCCCTCTACTTTAATAAACAAAATTATTTTCTGCTTTGTATGATGAATAAAAAATGTGTAAAAAATGGTTAAAATGGATCTTCTCTCTAGAAAATAATATAACACTCATAAAATCTAGGTGCAAGGTAGTGCACCAGCCAAGTTCTCGCACTACCTTCTTTTACACGAAACAACTTAGCCGTTTTTAAGGGGCTTATAGCTCGGCACTGGAGGCAGATGGAGAAATGTAATTTCGTACACTTGTTAAATGCTATCATGTCTCAATATTGACAAAACATTAATCTTCCAACATTAGTAGGTTCCGAGATATAGGACCTTAAAAATCGCTAAAGTTACTGACTGACTGATTGGGTACTTCCCATTGACCTAAAAGCTTGAAATTTGGTACATAGGTCCACCATAACAAACAATCAAAGGAATAATTATCAAAGTTTGAAATTTTACATCTTAAAGGGGTTGTATTGAAAAAAACATTACGAAATAAGTACGTAGGATGGAACATAGTAGCATAACATATATAACACTGAAAATTCAAGGGAAAATTGGAGATTCAATTTTCGAGTCTTATGCCTAAAATGGGATGAAAAAATAGTTAAAAAAAACAAAATTTTCCAGGAGTAAAATCTACATAATCTAGGTAAAGTTTACCCCATATTTTCACGTTATGTTGCAAAAATAATTATAATTAGCATACTTGATAATTGATGAAATCTCAACAAAAATTGATGAAATCCCAACAAAAACATCCTGTAAACAGGAGCCAAGTACTTATGGCCGTAAAAAGTTGTGAGATCAAACTAAATACGGCCAAGTTCGTTAGCTTAGAAATACCTCTTGTAATACTGAAAAAAGCTTTTGTGAAAATTAGGTAAAAAGAACGCTATTTAATTTTTGAAGAGTTACATGGAGGGATAAATTATTCAAACTTGGCTATTACCTAACACCTTTTATGGCCATTGGTTTAAAAAGTAACGGCCAAGTTTGAATAATTTATCCCTCCATGTAACTCTTCAAAAATTAAATAGTGTTCTTTTAACCTAATTTTCACAAAAGCTTTTTTCAGTATTGCAAGAGGTATTTCTAAGCTAACGAACTTGGCTATATTTAGTTTGATCTCACAACTTTTTACGGTCATAAGAACTTGGCTCCTGTTTACAGGATGTTTTTGTTGGCATAGGTACCTATCTACAGTAGACTCTCGTTATATTACCACGTTAGCAATTCGACCTTTATAAATATTGTCAAGCATTAGTACAGCTTATGAAGATGATACACTTCTATCTTTCTACATCTTTCTAAATGAGAATTTGAAGGCTTGACAAATTTTCTATTTTCTCAGTCTTATTCGCGGCAATATAACGAGGGTCTACTGTATATCGTAAAACAAATGTTATGCAAACAAATAAGGTATACATTTCTTTTAAATATTTAGAACAAGTTCTGATAGCAATTAAAAATTTTGAAAATGTAACAAATATTCAATTTTTAAAAATCTATTTTAATTGTATAGTCAAACATTTTCCTCATTCAAATAACAGATTTAAGGTAATAATAAAATATACTTAAAATATACATATTTAATTAAATAAAATATATTTAAAATCAACCCGAAAACTGCCCTCACGTCTGAAAAACACACAAGAAATACTATCGAACTCTTTAACGAAATCAACCTCTTCCACAAAATCTAAAGTCAACATGGAAGTTTGTCGCTAATGACCTTGATGTTAATGACCTTGATGTTAATGACGTAAAACCTCATAATAAAAAATAATAAAAAAAAGATATACTTTGTTTAGTGTTTATTTATATATTTTTGTTTTGATATTGTTAAAATATTCGAATGAAAATCTAGCATTTAATTCTGAAATTATTTCATACAATTTTTGCAAAATGAACTGAAACATATATGAAACTTCTTTTATTGAAATCATAAGTTAAATGAACTATAAAATCTACAAAAAGAAATTATATAGCGTATGAATTTAATATTTATGTATGTATTTCAAAGCTATAAAGTCGTCAAGAAAACAAACGTTTTGCTTTTTCTTATGAAGTTTTGCATCGTGTGTGTAATGAATTTTGTTTTAGACGTCGCATATTTTATATTTTTAGAAAGTACGAAAATGTTCGTGCGTCATTTAAGATACTAATTCTTGGGAATTCTCAACTTTCCAAATTTTCTCTTCCCTCGTCACAAGAAGAAAGAAACTATCCCGCAGTTTGGTTTAGTAGCGTTCATGCACGAATGTACTGGATGATTCATTTTAATGTTAACCAGGGATTTTCTGGAAAATTGTGAATTTCTTAAAAACAGTATTAAGAAGAAAAATTGTTTATCTTTGAAGATGTTAAAAGATGATGACATCATTTCGACCTTGGATAATCTTGTACAAGCTATGTGAAGGACGGCTTGTATTTTTCAAATACTTAAATAACTTTATTTATGTCTTGTTTATGCATGTTGAGATTTGGCGGTCTAATTTTACACTTAATAAGAGTAATCCTGAGTTCGATCATTTTTGCTTCCAATGATTCTCTACAAAGGGGTTTAATGGGGCCTACAGACTTTTTTGGGGGTTGTTCTAAGCTTTCCATTTATTATGTCAAAAAATTCCAAAGTTTGGAATTTACTGTGATTTTGTACATTTTGGATCTAATTGCTTTTGCAAAAATAAATCCTCTCCTATTAAACTTTTTGAATCATTAAATTATTTAAATATGTATCATTTCGATGTTTTTTCTTCAACATAATTTATTTGTAGATCATTATTTTTCTTTACAAATTAAAAGCTATTTCATTTTATTTGGAATAAATTTCAATTATTGCATTAAGTTTATCAAGCAAAAGGCTTTCGAAAATTTTACAGAGCCGGGCCTGAGAAACCTTGATTTGGTTCTGTTAATTGATTATCTAAAGAATACACATACACAGAAAGTAGAATGTGTGTTACTACATACGAAGCATACCTAAAAGGTAATTATCGGGTGACTACTGTAACATCAATGGAATTTCATCCACATTTGAATAATTTAATGATGAAAGTGATTAATTCCATTCCTTGAATTTTTAAAAATTTTAGCAGCAAAGCATTTGATTGGTGTTTAACTTTTTATAGTTTATCAATTTCTGTACCTTCCTGTTTGTGAAATTAATCGATTTGACAAATGAACGATTCAACTATTCCTTTAACGATAAATCTTAAATTATGTTACCGCTATCTTTTTACCACATTTTTTGTTCTAAAAACTTAAAAACTGTTCAAATAACGTATAAATATTTTGAACAATTATGTAAACATAATTGTGCATAGTGGTACTGCCAATGATTTTAGAAAACATATAATTCAAATAATTCACATCGCTCCTGTTCCTGTTACACAAGAATGTTATCTTTTCTATATGGAATTTACACATAAAATTTTTATGTTTTACATATGTTATTTTTATAACTGAGTTAGAATGATCCTACATCCGGTGTGCAAGATTTACCAAGGTACAAAGTGATAGGGTTAACACTTTGATGGCCACGTTACTCATATATGGGTGACGCTAGAATTTCCATAGGAACTCTTTGACTTACCTAATTAGAAATACGCGTATGTAGGCGTTTAGTGTGGGGGGGGATCGACTTCCCGGACGCCTTTAGTTCGGGGCGGGGACCGCTAGGTGGTAGCGAGATGACAGTGCTAGTGTTCTCGCAAGCGGTCGCCCGGCATGCAGTTCGAATATATAGAAGTTCCGAATTACGTTATAATAGGTGTCTGGGGCAGGGATCGCGTCTATAGTTCCTAATAACGTGCAAGCCGGCTGTATTCCTGTTAGTTTTTGTATTCAAATAGGCTAAGAACCAACAATGTATTACTTTACAACAAAAACAATAAAACGATTTAAAAAAAAAGGGGATCGCGTTTGTTGTCAGCCCCACTGGACGAG